AGTCCAGCTCCTCTGCAGCCCTCTGGTTCAGCTCCAGCACCTCGTCCCCAGCCTTCAGCCCTGTGACACAGAGGAACGGCTCACACTCATGTTGGTGGCTGGGCATGATCATTAATGCCTGCAATGGCACTGAGGTGTGATGGACCTGGTGAGGTCTGCTGCCTGGCTGCTCCTCCAGTGCCACCCTAACAGCAGAGTGCCCAGGGAGCCCCTTGTCCCAGACTGGAAGGCAAGATGTATTCTATTTGCCTTTTTTTACCACATCTGCTGATAACAGCCATTGAATGTCCCTGCATGGCTGGTAAAAGCTACAGCATCCCACTGGGAGATGTGAGCCCAGAAGGAGGAGCCAAGCATTGCTACCTGGATATGATCTGGCGATTCTGGAACACCAGCACGGCTTCTCCACTGGATTGCCCAGAGGAACAGCAGCTGCCTCTTCCACTGGATGTTCAAAGGAAGAATACACCTTTCTCCAGGATCCCTGCTCCAGCAGAACCAGCCCTGACACTGCAGGAGGGCTGAGACACAATTCCAATGGGACTGCTGCCAACACCCTGACCCACAGGGTGTCAGGCTGGGTTCTGACTCTGTCACTGTAGTTCTAGTGCACTGCATTGTTTATCTTTTTATTTTCTTCCCTAGTACAGAACTGTTATTCCTGCTCCCATATTTTTTGCCTGAGAGGCCCTTAATTTAAAATTTGTAGCAATTTGGAGGGAGGGGGTTTACATTTTCCATTTCAGGGGGGGCTCCTGCCTTCCTTAACACACACCTGTCTTGCCAAACCAAGACATCCCTCACAATCTGCCAGCAGCAATTGATGCCTTTTTCCTCATGGCACAGCCACTGTGCCCCACAGTGACCCTTCCTGAATGCCATGGCAGCACGGGGCTGCTCAGCAGGCAGATCTGAGCCCTGCCCAGCTAGTCCTGGCTCTTCTGCCAGCCAGCTTCAGCAGGTATTTATAGCAGCAGCACCCCAGGGAGAAGGGGATGTGCAGGAAGCAGCTGACTGCCCTGACAGGGATGCTGAGGGCAGCGTGCAGCCCTGCCAGGTGACACGGCCATCCTGACCTTCCCCAGGTGATACAGCCACCCTGACCTTCCCCGAGGTGACATGGCTGTCCTGACCTTTCCCACAGTGACACGGCCATCCTGACCTTCCCCAGGTGACACAGCCACCCTGACCTTTCCCACGGTGACACGGCCATCCTGACCTTCCCCAGGTGACACAGCCACCCTGACCTTCCCCACGACCAGCTGGGCCCTCCCCGAGCAGCAACAGCGAGTGCAGAGGGGTTTCATCCCAAAATTAATCCCAAACAACCCCTGGGGCAGGCAGGCAGCAGCACAGCAGTGCCAGAGCCCCGGCTGCTGGACCAGCCCCATCTCCACCTTGCCTTTACAGGGATGAGAGCCGGAATTTACAGCACAGGGGTGACCATCCCTGCCATGTGCTGGCACCCTGAAAGCCTGCATGGACCTGAAAACCTGGATGAACCCTCCAGGAGACAGAGTACTGATCCACACTGCAGGAGGGAGCTCCCTTAGGAAAATGGAGATCTCCCTAAATGCATGTAATTGTGCCCAGAAACCCCAGTGTGGTGTGCAGTTTCAGGGAGAATCACATGCACTGGATAGAGCAGCTACAAAGTAAATGGGCTGTAAAATCATAGCTGAAAGAGGGACAAAACAAGGCAAGTCAAGCATTTCACATTATTTAATTTATTCTACTTAGGGATTCTGTGGCATTATAGCAACACACTAATAGGCCTGCAACCATAAACATTGGATCTGGGGCCCCATTTACTCTTTGCAGCCTTTGTTTTGGATCCTTTGGGATAAAGCCTCATATCTACCTCAGTGCAAGCAAGGAGCTCCCATTCCAAAAAGGAATGCCTTCCCTGCTAAGGCAGCCCAACAGAAAAAAACAAAAGGATAAACCACAAAAATTACCAGGAGAAAAAGAAGTCTGTTAATTGGAGGTAAGACTGAACATGAAATGCACCATCTCATCTGATGGAGGGTAGTCAGATGCAGACAATGCATGTAAATAACGGGAGGCACAGAGGGTTTCCTGCATTCCTGCTGCTACCCCAGGGAATCCTGTCCCAGTACCTGCTGACTGCTGTCCATACCCAGGTGCCTTTCCAGGCCAGCTCGGGGCAGCCACAATCCCTGAGCTGCTCCAGTGCCTGCGCTTGCACTGCAGCCCCGCAGGAGGCACTCTGTGCTCACACATCCAGCAGGCACCAAAACCACCAAAAGCAAACGGGGGAGCCCTGATGAAACCCCCACCACCCTCTCCTGACCTCACTTTGTCCACACAGGAGCCCACAGGTGTCACCTCCCTGTGGCACTGAGCCCCCCAGTCCCTGCCCAGGGCTTTGGGCAGGATATCCCTCCTGTTGACCAGGAATGCTGCAGGGAGGAGGGACAGGACACAGCAAGAGTCTTTTCATGTTTAACACACACCTGTGTGGGTTTCTGGGTGCACCTCCAGGCTGTCCCCACTCCCGGACCACTGTTCTGCCTCCACTGTGCCCCTTTGGCCACTCATGCCCAGCCCAGGGCATACAGCTGCCAGGGCATTCTCCATCAGCTGGGCTGGCCCAGCACAGTGCCAGGCTCAGCACCAGCCCAAGGGGGCAGCAGCCTGGGCACAGCAGCCTTTGGAACAGCTCTTGGCAAGGCCAGAGCTGAATGAGCTCTGCAAGGCCACGTAAACCCTGACCAAGAGAGCTCTGAGGGTGCTTCTGAGGGCTCTGCACACACCAGTGGTAATGAAGAGATGAGGATATTGTCACCCCTCATGTTCTAGCTCAGAATGTGGGTGGGTTCCAGCTGCCCAGCTGTGCAGAAGGGGGGCAGTGGATGGGAGATGCAGTGGCCCAGCCTGGAGAAGCTGCACTAAAGCACACCCAGCCGTGCCTTGGGAGCACATGGCAGCCTGGCCATCCCTGCTGCCCTCTGCCCCAGGTGCTGCCATGCTCCCTGCAAAGGCTGGGAGCACAACCAGAGGCAGCAATCCCACCACAGGGAGCCCTGAGAGCCTTCCCCTGTGTTTGTCTGAGCTGGGAGGGCTCTGGGGGTGCTTTACCTTTCTTGAAAGCCAGGCCCGTGTCCTTGACGCCGTTCACGTAGAGGCGGCGAATCCCCTCCTCTTCCACCGAGGACAGAGAGAAACCTGGGGAGAGAGACACCAGCAGTGCTCAGAGGAGCCCAGCCCCTTCCAGGGAGTGCCAGCCCCTGCCCTGCAGCCAAGGCTGGGCTGTCCCAGCCATGGGCAGGCAGGAATCCCTCCCCTCACAACAGCAAAGTGGCTCTAACAAAAGCCTGAGCTGAATTTCTGAGTGCATACACCACTTACCTGCAGACATATCTGAGGACACCACAGCTGCAAAGCCTTGGAACAGACCCCCAGTCCTCCTGCCATCAAAGGTCACTCCAGGAGGCTTTGCTGTTTGCAGACCAAAGCTGCACAGAGCCCTGGTTTGGGACAAAGTCAGGAATCCGAGGCACAGCTGATGTGCCACCCCAAACTGG